TGCTGGAATTAAGGGCATGAACCACACCAATGCCAGCCTTGTTTCATAGTTTTGAGGCAATGTCTCAGCTGAGCAGGCTAATCTTGAACTTGGGATACTCCTATCTTAGCCTTCTGAGTAGCTGAAATTAGAGCCCCCACGTCACCTGGTCTGCCTAGTTAGAACATCTTTTGCCAAGACTAGCCAGAAACGCACTAGAGAGGTCTTCCGGAAGCTCCCCAAATTAAGCCAGTGGGTATCTGTCCAGCTGTCAGTTGCCATCAAGTCTTTTACCCTCTGACCCAGAAGCTGGAAGAGCAAAGTTCATCCCCCATACTGCAGCTGACAAAACCACCAGGTAAAGCCACCAGAGTCCCAAGGGTTCCCACAAGGCAGCTGCATTCTCAGAGAGATCCAAATGAGAGCATTGGTGTGCGCAGGTCAGCCAGCCCTGGCTGTTGCAGTGCTTGGAGGAACCAGTCAGGATTCTGCAGTCAGAATACTCCTGGGATATCCCAGGGCCAAGCATCTGCCAGCCAGAGCATGGGAAGCCTACCCTGTTTGGCAGCTGCTTTCCCAAAGGCCTAAGCCTGGCAGCCCTCAGAGGACCCAGACATGGAGAAGGAAGGCTACAGGAGCAGGGCAGACAGGCAGATCCCTGGACAGATACAGTCATGATTGAAGCCAGACTTTGTCAACAGGGGACACCCTAAGTGAGATGCCATCTGTCACAGTGTCTGAAAAGTTTCCAAGTCAACCTCTGGCTTCAGAGGGGATATAGGATGGGAGAAAAATTCTTTGAACATAGTTGGCCAGCCTCCCATCTCCTTTGCATGAAAGTCGAGGCCCTTTCCCCATCCCACCCTGGAGGTAGTGGGGAGCAATGGTATCTCACGGCTTTGGTCCCAAGCCAGCTGTCAAACTCTGGACATCTTGTCATCCTTTCCCTTCCTAAGTAATGAGCTCCAGGTTGTGGAGTGGGGCTAACAGTCCGCTGTCTGTGAACTATATCACACAACTGCCTGGAGATGGTGCGTGCGTGGGTGATTTAACCAGTGAGTTTGTTTACACAATAAACTGAGCTGCTCCCCTGTTCCCACTACCTTCTCCGAAGAATTCCCTGAAACCATCACCAAATTTAAGAGAAAAGAAAAAAGAAAAACCAGAAGATCTCATCTAAGTGCAACCCCAGAGGCACCTCTCTTCTGGGAGATGAAGTGGGAAGGGGTCCTCACAGAGGACATGGCTTTCTGAGCGCCTGTCTTCCAGCTAGGACGGGACTTGAAGGTCTGGTTTCTGTTGGGAAATTGTAAACAGCTATGCCTCTCCCATACCCACTGTGTGTCCTGGTCCTCTCCAGGAACTGCTGGGACAAAGAACCGCAAAAAGCCACAAAGCCAAAGGAGCCTTCCTCCAGGCCTCCACACAGCCTCTCTCTCTCCTATTGCCTCACCCCAGCAAGGTCCAAGCACCTAACTCTTCCATCCATTCCCTACCCTGTTTGTGTCCTCTGCTGCCGCCTACATGGGGCTGGGCACCAGAGGAAAGCATGGGAGAGGAAGGCCCCTGCATGCACTTCTCAGTCTCCAGGAAATTCCAGACAGTGTAAACTACAGGTCCAAGAACAAGCCCTAGCAGCAAGGGCACACACCGCAGCCCTGACATCTCTAAGTTTGGATCAGAGCTCTTGGGATTACATGTGCCCCCCCTCCCCAACTCAATCCCACCCCTCACTGCCCTTCTTCCCCATCTCTCCTGGTGTAGTCTGAAGCAGAAAGTCCCAAGAAGTTCCTCTGAGGAGAAGAGGTCAGGTGAGGACAGGAAAGCAAATAAGAATAAAATACAATGGTATATGTGTGCAAACACCATAATGAAACCCATTACTTTGTATGCTAGCAAAAAAAAAAACTAATAAAAAAATATTCCTTCAAGTTCTCCTCTTGGAGGCACTGGGGAGGAGGAGAGAAGGAAGATGGAGGTTTGGCAGCTCACCAGGGCATTGCTATTCAGAGGTTGCAGTATAGAACACCTGCATGACGCTCACCTTAGATGCCTATGGCCATGGCTCCTGCCAGCCCTTCTTTCTCTCCAGCAGGCAAATGAGGAGTGTAGGCAGTGGAAAAGGGCCTCGGACAAGCAGGCACCCAGAGAAACCAGCAGAACCAGGGATATGTCTGATGGTGGTACCCTAGCCCTCATCACCACTAAACAGTAAGAATGAGCATTTCTGCATTCCTGAGGGCACACCTCAACGCCAGGGTCCCAGAAGAGCAGTCCTAGTGCACAGATGTGGCACCACCTTGCTGCCACCCTTTAAACAGCCCCACACAGCCCCACCAAGACCCTTTGGAAAGGTCAGGGGTTCCAGGCCTGCCCACACATAGCTGCAAAGCTCCTCTGCCTGCAGTGAACAGTGTCCGTGGGAAAGCAGCCCCTAGATAGCCTCTTCTGAAACACTGAAGTTCTGTGGGGTGAGGAGTGTCGCTCAGTGGTCGAGTGCCTGTCCGCCATGCATGGAACCCTGGATCTGATCCCTGACACTACAAACAAATAAGCAAGATTTCCTTCAGTCCTCCACTGTCTCAGGGGCTGCCAGCAGAGGGCTGTTGCTCTCCAGGACAAATAAACTCACCTTCTGGGAAAGAGAGAGAGAAAGAGAGAGAGAGAGAGAGAGAGAGAGAGAGAGAGAGAGAGAGAGAGGAGAGACCCAGCTGCTGAGATGGGAGCCTCCCTCTCACCCCAGTAATTTTCCCCATTGGTTTTTATTCCCCAGCCAAGACACCCTGGGCATTTTAGCCAGACTTTTTGACTAGTTTAAAACAGTTAAGAGAGTCTGGGGACCCAATTCCATTCAGCAAGTTCGGGGGACTAGAGAGTCCCAGCTGAGACCCCAGCCCTGTCTGATGACACACACCCCCAGCTGGTCCTGTCCCTGGCACTTACGAGGCTTGGTTGTTCCTGGGCTTGAAGAACAGCGTCAGTGCCTGGGCTGGGCAGACGGGATGGGGCGCCGGCTGGGTGAGGGGTTTAAAGGGCGCCAAGGCAGTGACGTCACCTCTCAGTCGGCCCACTAGCCCCTCCCTGCCCTAAGGAAGCCCACTGGGCTTCCCACCCCCGACCGCCCCACTCACTCCACACAGGCTCCATATTTGGGGAAAGATACCAAGTTGAAGCAGTCTGCCGGGGAGCAACCGGAGACATTCCCTGCATGCTTTGGAGATGCTGCGGGGGTCGGGGCGGGGCGGTGCTGAGTGAGGCGGGAAAAGCCTTTTATGGGCAGGACCCTGAAAGCCTTCCTTGCTACCCCAACTTGGGTCAGCTCTCGGTCCAATGAGAGTACAAGGAAGAGGTGATCTAAGAGTCTGACCCCACAAAAGTGCATCCTGGGGGGCTAGGGATCCCCCAAACTTGCAGGGACAAACAAGCCACCCTCCTCCAGTTGGTATGGAAAGTAATCTTAACTGCATGCCAGGCACTATGCAAATACCTTCTTTTCACGTTCAAGGTTAGAGTTACTACCCCACTGGGCAGCTGAGAAAACTGAGGTCCAGAGTGGCCTTTCTAAGGCCACTGAGTGAGTGACAGAACCTGGGCACTCCTGCCCACAGGTGTGGGAACTGGAGAGGATGTCACACCCTCTCTGTTGTGCCACCCTGCTCAGGGTGGGGAGAGCTCCCAATTGGAGTTAACGACCTCACTAAGGGGTGGAACCGAGCCCCATCCAGAGCAGTGACAAGGTGTTAAAGGCTGTGGAGACATTAGGGTAAGAGGACTAGGAAGCAGGCTTACCCGCTCCCTCCCTCAAAAGAGTTCCAATCTTGGGAGAGTCTGTCATTCCAGAAAGGACCTTCGCTCGCTCACATCTTGCTTGTAACTAGCTACAGTGGTCCTGAGAAGGAACGGGAAGAACGGTGAGACTGGGGCTCAGTAGTTTAAGACACTTGCTGTCAAACCAATGATCTGAGTTCACTCCCCAGAACCCACAAGGTGGAAACAAAACCAACTCTCCTCTGAGCTCACATACCCCGCTATGTATCCCACACACACGTTCCATAGATAAATGTAATTATTTAAAAGGTAAGACGTTAGTGGAGTCCCGCCCCCAATTCTGGGAATTTCAGGAAAGGGATGGAGAGGGAGAAAGAGAAGGGAGAGGGATCCTCAGGCTGTGTCAGCCTCTCCCAAAACTGGCAGCAGGCAGGTATGGCTCGGCCTCAGGAGCTCCACCTAACTACAACCAGCCTAGCTAACTTGAGCTAGCACAGCAGTGCGTAGAGCTACAGCACCCCCTAGTGGCATCTGAAGGAAAGATCATGAACAGGAAGCTGGAGTTCCCCGAGACCACACTTGCCATCCAGGGGATGCCTGGACACTGCGAATATCCTGTATTCATTAGACTGGCTTCCAAGATCCCATCCTCTTTTGCTGAAATCTAAATAAAAACTCACTCCTCTTGTTTGCCATCCATATGGTCATTCCTGAACAGTCTTTTTGTTTCAAGAGTTTCTCTGTGTAGCCTTGGCTGTCCTGGAACTCACTCGTAGACCAGGCTGGCCTTGAACTCAGAGACCCACCTGCCTCTGTTCCCTGAGTGCTGGAATTAAAAGCGTGTACCACCACCGCCCGGCCCGAAAACCTCTTAAAACTGTGGTCTGCAAGCTCTCTGCCCATTTCAGGCACATGTATGGGCATGGCCTAGACACACTTCTGCCTACTGGTTGGAAGGGCTGCTGGCCTCTGCCTGGTGGGCAGAGGCAGGTGCTGTGTGCCAAAAGGATGTTATCGCAGGGGAGAAGACACAGAGACACTTTCAGCATCTTGCTCTTTCCTGTGAGCATAGTGCTTGGTGCAGGGTAGGGTCAAATGTTTACATGATTAGCAGGTGGCCTGAAGCTGAGGAACACCCTGGTGGAAGTCAGGAACTGCAGTTTCCAGTGCAGCCGTGCACAGAAACGGGAAGGGAAAGCCAGAAGAAATGGGAGGCTCCTGTACCACCCAACAAAAGAGTAAGAGCCCAGATCCCAGGTCTGGTTGTCTTTATTGAATGCACTCAATTCATAGAAACAGAACTGCAACCATAGCATGGAGACATAGAACAGAGCTCTGAAACAAAGACCCAGACCTGCCTCTTCTCCCAGTCCAAGAGCTATAAAAACATGGTGGAGAGAATGAAATACATTCCTGGACCACAACCCCCTTGGCATCTGGAATGGACTTGGTGGAGTGAAAGGGAGCCAAGGACCAGAGTGGCCAGGGCCCAGAGCTGGGTGACTCCATGTAAACACCAAGGCTCTTAGGCCCATGTGACTAACACAGAACTTGGCTAAATACTGACGGAAACTCAGAAGCCAGCCCTGAGTCCTGTAGTGAGGCAGGGCCAGGGACACACAGAGACCTGGCATGTCCCTCCCTTTCTAAAACAGGCACTGGGGCTCCTGCTCCCGTGAAAGAGGAAGAAAGGGCTGTGTGCTTGGCACTATTCCTCCATGGCCTCTGGACATCGCTGGGCAGTGTCAATGGCACTGAGAGGCCCCCAGCTGGGGCTGGGCAGGACTTTGGGTGCAGAAGGGGACAGAGAGTTGCCACTTCCCACCAACCCTGGTGCTGGCATCATTCTCGTGGCTGTTGGGATGAGGAAGTGACCTCTGAACTCAGTTCCCCAGATCAGACTCAAACTGGGCTGATTCTCACTGCTCAAGAGCCAGCTCCAAGCACAGGTCGAGGGAGAAGGGTCGTACCTAGGCCCTTGCAGGCCTTAGCACCATAAACCTGGCACCAGCTGGCCAGGCCCCAAAGTCTCCTACCTGCATCCATCCTGGCAGGTCAGAGTGGGCAGTGATAGCAGCCAGCTGCAGACCCAGAGAGAACTGGGGTCCTCGTGCTGGACAGAGAATCAGGCACCTGACTAGGGTCCTGGAGCAGGGCATGGGAGGAAGGGCAGGCTGCGGGTCCTAGGCTGAGAGGAGGGAAGGGATGGGAAGGAAGCATGAAATGGGACAGGACATTGCCCTCCCACCTTCCTTCTCCAAAGGGACAAAGGAGAGCCAGTGGATAGACAAGAGAGATGGACGGACAAGGGTCCTGGAGAGGACCCAACACTGAGAAGCAGCAATTTGGCCAGTGTTTGGGGAATGGGGAGCAGGCCTCTTCCACAGCAGAGGCAACTGCAAGGCTCGGTGCCACCAGTAACTGTCCTGAGTCAGGTCTGGACTGGAATCTCGATGTCCTGCCAACCATCCGATGCTGGGCAGCAGAGCTGGGACTCACACCCTTGGTGCTATGGTGGCACCTGGCAGGTGATGAAGGGGCCCCATAAGGTGAAGCTGGGTCCTAGGATACTGCTAGAAGACATAGATCTTGTCTCGTTGTACTGTGTCTAAGTCATCATCCAATGTCAGCAAAACCTAATGGTGGACAGAGGGTCAGGAAAGGAGAAGCCATATGCTTACCGTCCCCTCCACCCTCAGGCCAGGTACATCCCACATACCAGGAAGGACCCAAACATGGCAATGGAGGACAGGAAGTGCCAGATGTCATGATCATCAAAGAAGTCAAGGAGGATGCAGTCACGGTTGTGTTCCCTGGACTCTGCGGGGGTTTTCTGGAAAAGGGACAGGGCCAGCAGCCTACTGACTCTGCTGTGGCAGGGCCAGATCCAACCCCACCTCTGAACCACTCCATGGCACCCCCGCCATGCCTCACTCTCACTCTCCAGCCAACAATGACCAGTTCCATCCTCTGCATCTCACTCGTCCCCCGCCAGACCCGTCTTCTCTTTCCAGCGCGGGCAGGCGGCTGGGAGCACAGCTTCCACTCGGAGAGCCCAACTCAACTGCCACCTTGCTCTCAAGTGACCTCAGGGTGCTTCTGCCCCAAGTACTATATCAGACCATGCCCTGTTCCCAAGCAACAGTGGCCATGGCTGACACTCCAGGTCCTCCCTGCTCTACCCACACCTCTATGTCACAAGCATTTTCTGACCCTGTATCTGGAACAGTCTGTGCTGAGGCCACAGACCAAGGCATGTCTGACCCTGCGCAGTGCTCAGGTCTTTGCCAAGCTCCCACATCAGTGTGTTCTCACATTCCAGCCTCTGTGTGACTGCTCAGGCGGCAGGACCTGAGTTATGAGGCTCTATGCATAAGACTGTGGCCAAGAATAAAGCTTGCCTCCTCCAGGAAGTTCTCCCAGGACTCCTAACCTGGAAACTTCACCCTCCCCTCTCCTGCACACTCTGCTACCTTGACTTGTCTTCTATTTCAAACATGAACTAGATATGGGGGGGGGTGCTTAGTGGCAGAGCATGTACTTAGCATGTGGCAAAGGCAGTTTTGATCCTTGACTTTAAAATGAACAAAAAACCAGACATGAGCTAGCAGTGTCTCTTTTGAACTACATTCTGAATTCAACGCTATATGGGCAAAGGCCATGTTATGTTCTTGTTTTGTTTTTTAAGACAGGGTTTCTCTATGTGGCCCTGGCTGTCCAGGAACTCACTCTGCAGACCAGGCTGGCCTCGAACTCCCAGAGGTCTGCGCCTGCCTCTGCCTCACAAGTGCTAGGATTAAAGACTGCACCACAATGCCTGGCAGACAAGTCGGTTCTATCACAGAGTTACAGCATGTCCTTTGAGGCAGTAAAGAGACTGACATGTCTGGTTTGAAACCACAGCTCCCACACACTAGCTCTATGCCCTGGGGGAGGTCACTTGGCTTCTCTGAGATTTGGCTGCCTTTGAAGTAACAGGCCCAGTTGGCCATGATGGCACATTCATCAAGAGGCTTTAATGAGAAACACCAGGAAAGGCCTGGTCCCAGGTGGAGAACTTGCCATGCATTGGCTTGCTCTAAGCCTGGAAGTGAGCACTCACCTGCCACGTGCTGAGTCCCTGGAAGAAGAAGAAGAGCGCAAAGCCCCAGATCACGGAGGTGCAGATGATGCAGAGCAGGGGGATGAGCTTGATTCTCTCTCCACTGCGGAGCTAGGGGAAGCACGGCTGTCAGCAAGGACGCCGCCCACCTTCCTGTCTGACCTGGGCCCCTCCCAGATTTACAGGGCTCAACCACAGAACCCAACCAAGTCTCATGCTGGCAGCCTTATGTCTTTACCCACTATCCACCCTAAGCTAGGTGGCCACATACCCAGATCCCTGAGCCAACAAAGTCAACAATGTGGGCACTTCCTCGCATTGTACAACATGGGAGCCATTGAGAGGACCAGTCCTCAGAGGTCTGATCTATCACAGGTCCTGTGGACTCAGGGTGGGGCATGGCTTGGTGGCAGAGCACTCGCTTAGCAGGTGGCTCTGAAGGGTACATACAAGAGACTCAAGCCACTCCCAAACCTCACTGTCATAGACCCATGGACAGAAAGGCTCCCATCCTCTCGGTGCCCCACTCTGTCCACGACTGACAGCTCAGCCCACTCTCACTCACCTTCATAATGATGTAGAAGGCAAAATAAAGCAGCAGGTTGCAGATACCAATTGCCAGCAAGTAGGAGGCAAAATCATTGGGGCGCATGATGAGTCCATATGCAGCCCTGAAAGAGGGAGTGTGTCTGGGGAAGGAAAGAGGGCCTCACCTCTGCCCACACCCTGCCAGGCCTCATCATTATACTGGACTGTTTTCACAGGCCTACAGAAGGTTCTAGAAGCCCAGGAGCTAACACCTCTCTCTTTAGCCCCCATTCTTTATGTTCAATGCTCCAAAATCGTCTATAGCCCCCTAAGTCAGCTAGTGGCTAACTCCACAGCCAATGGCCACACTCACAGAGACCAGTTGATAATGTTGCCCATGACCAGAAGTACCATGCGGTCCTGGAGGGAAGCAGAGACACAGGGACTGAGAAGGGGAAGAGAGACAGGGAGAGAAGTGGCAGAAGGCTCAAGTCAGCCTGTCCCACGCTACCCTAGGTACTCTGACACACCTTGATCCATCCCACAGGGAGGAGGGAGTCAGAGGAGGAAGGGGTCAGGGAGCGGGGCAGGTACCGTATAAAGGGGCCCACTGCACTGCCGGATGCAGTCTGTGTAGAGCACATGGAGGATGCGGCGGAAGATTCCAGAGTCTGCAATGAGAAGGCATGGCACTCAGCATGGTGGAGAGCAGGTGGGAATTTCAGAGGGCATAGCACAGCAATGTCCAGGAGCACTCTGGATTTCCCACCCAAAGAAGAGAAATGAAAGGTCCCTTGTGCGTCCAGGTACCCAAGTTCCCCTGCACCCTCAGCCACCCTGCCCTGTGCATGCTCTCACCCAGCTTCCAGCGGCCCATGTAATAGAGCTGTGTGCTGAGGAGTAGGGTGGAAATGATATGGATGACTGAGAAGACAATCCAGAAGGCCGTGTTCCCTTTGCCAAAAACCTGTGGGGGAACCCCCAATGTGGAGTAAAGGGGTGGTGAGGGCAGCTGTTTCCATGCCCCCCCTACACTGGATCCTTACTAGGGCAGGCTGTTTGGTTAGTCTGCGATTATAGAGGGACCCATAATGGCCCCTTAGGGAAGAAGCAGGACCTCTCCTGCAGTGGAGGACAGGACGAGCGTATCACATGTGTGTGCATATGCCTTTCCTATGGGGTATACGGAGTAGACCAGGCCCTCACCACGCCCAGAACGGAGAAGAAGATGACGATGGCCAAGCAGGCATATGCGCTGTAGGCACTGGCGTTGATATCTGGGTGCCGCTTCTGGTAGAGCTTCAGCATGCAGAGGCCAGCAATCATGTACATGAATGAGGTGTCTGGGTGGGAACAGGGCATGTGCTAAAGAGACACCCACTGGGACTCCACACAGAACACCCAGCCTGGACCTTGGAATGCCATGAGCAAGTTGGAGGGTCAGCACTTCAGCCCCTTAACTGCCCCTGAATCCTGAGGATTTTGTCAGAGTCTCTGTAGAGATGACCGGAGAAGAAGCAGGGCAGACAGCCATCTTCTCTTTTTTCTTTCTTTTTTGTTTTTTTCAAGATGGATTTGTCTGTGTAGCTCTGACTGTCCTGGGAACTCATTCTGTAGACCAGGCTGGCCTTAAACTCATAGAGATCTGGGATTAAACGTGTGCACTACCACCACCTGGTTTAGCTGGACATCTTTTTTTTTTTTCTTCCCCAAGACAGAGTTTCTCTTTTAGTTTTGGAGTCTGTCCTGGAACTGGTTTCAAACTCACAAAGATCCGTCTGCCTCTGCCTCCCAAGTGCTGGGATTAAAGGTGTGCGCCACCACCACCTGGCTAGTTGGGCATCTTCTAATATGCGAAGCTGCACTAAGAAGCTAGCCTCCGAGTTTCGTACCAGCTACGTGGGATGGTAGAGGTTCAGCAGACAAGAGGCAGCACTCACCAAACTGGAAGTTGGTGTAGTTGGGGCAGACATGGTAACAGGCACTCAGCAGTCCCTCCATCATCAGTGCTGTGCCCATGGCATAGAATAGACCAAAGTGTTTGGGGATCCCACACTCCTGTGGGGAGAAAGAGAAGGAAGGGAAGTAAAAGTGAGGTGGGAAGAGAAGGGTACTGAGAGGAGACCCAAGGGGAAGGGAAGAGGAAAAGGATTGGGCTATGTGGTGAGTGGGTAGCAGAGTGGGTTGTGCAAGACAGAGTACACAGGGCAGAGCAGAACAAAGTAGGGCAGGGCAAGAGCGGGTAGGACAGAGCAGAAGGCAAGGGAGGGCAGGGGAAATTGTGGGCAGGGCAGGGCAGGGCAGGGCAGACCTGGGTAAGGCATGGCAAAACCCAGCAGAGCAGTGCAGAACAAGGCAGGGAGGACCTGGGCAAGACAGGGTGAGGCAGGGAAGACCTGAGCAGGGCAGGGTGAGGCAGGGAAGACCTGAGCAGGGCAGGGTGAGGCAGGGAGGACCTAGGCAGGGCAGGGCAGGGCAGTGCAGGGAGGACCTGGGCAGGGCAGGGCAGGGCAGTGCAGGGAGGACCTGGGCAGGGCAGGACAGGCAGGGTGAGGCAGGGAAGACCTGAGCAGGGCAGGGCAGTGCAGGGTGAGGCAGGGAAGACCTGGGCAGGGCAGGGTGAGACAGGGAAGACCTGGGCAGGGCAGGGCAGGGCAGGGCAGGGCAGGGCAGGGTGAGGCAGGGAGGACCTGGGCAGGGCAGGGCAAGGCAGGGAAGACCTGGGCAGGGCAGGGCAAGGCAGGGAAGACCTGGGCAGGGCAAGGTAAGGCAGGGAAGATCTGGGCAGGGCAAGGTAAGGCAGGGAGGACCTGGGCAGGGCAAGGTAAGGCAAGGAGGAACGAGGCAGACTAAACCAGAGCAGGACAGATCTGGGCAGGGCAGGGCAGGACAGGCAGGGAGAACCTGGGCAGGGCAGGAAGGACCTGGGCAGACTAGACCAGAGCAGGACAGATCTGGGCTGAGAATGGCAGGACAGGGAGGACCTGGACAGGGAAAGGCAGACCTGGGTAGGGCAGGGCAGGGAGGACCTGGGCAAATCAGGGCAGAGCAGGGCAGGGCAGTACAGGGCAGACTTGGGCAAGGTAGAACAGAACAAGGTATGGCAGGATCAGATTAGATAGAGCAGAGTTGGACTAGGCAAGGTCAGTTTGCCAGGATGAGGCCTTGGTGGGCAGTGGCTGGCGTACCAGAGCATAGAGGTCATTTCGCATCAGGGCCCGGTTGTGATTGATCTCTCGCTGCAGAATGATGAGCAGGAAAAGCAGTCCCAGCAGGATGTACCCCAGGTTGCTGAGGATGTTGTTAAAGGCGCTAGAAGGGACAAGATAGGCACTAAGCTTACATTCGGGCCCTCAGGCCCTTCCCTTTCTTCTGCCAAAGCCCCACCCTGCCCTGCTCACTGATGCCTACCCTACCCACCCCTGGGCCAGCACAATCCCCACCTGAGGTTGCCCAGTGGGTGGGCACAGAGGAAGTTGTAGTAGCAGATGTCCTGGTTCCCTGTGACATTCACCACCTGTGAGGGGTAGGGATGCAAAGCTATTAACATGCCTCACTCAGCAAGGAGCCCATACCATACTCCCTGGGTCCAACTGGCAAAACAAGAGCAGTACCAGCATGGCTGACATGTGTACGCAGTACCCAGCTGGTACTCCTGTATAGCGTGTGTTTTAGGTGGTGCAGATGCCTGCCACTGCCCCTTTTATATATGTGACTGAAAACTCCTTAAGTTATTGCCTCACAGAAAGGAGAGGGAAGGGAAGTTAGATTTACAAAGTCCTGAGACCTCTATTTTCTAGAACCACCCCCAGTCTGCAGATGAAGGAGTTGATACTCAGAAACCAGAGCCTCGAGTTGGGATCTGAAAGCTGCTCCCTGGACCTATGTGCACTGCAGTCTCTCTCTGCATGCAGTGGCTCTGCAGGGGAGGCAGTCATACACAGTCGCTCCAACCCTCCCCTCTCACCGTCTGGTAGGTGATCACCAGCTGCACCACAGGAAGGGCGTAGAAGACCGCAATGGTGGCTATGTTCCTGAGGGGCGGGAGGGCCGTGGTAAGGTGGGCAGGACCCTAGGAGCCGCCCCGTAGTAACAGGAGTCCCTGTCTGTGTAGCGCACTCACCAGAAGTAAATCTGGTACTTTTTCCGCAAAACACGTTTGTCCTTTCGTGCCAGATCAGCCACACAGAGATATTGCTGAGGAGAAGCAGGAGTGGGTCTCACATACCCAGGGCCTGGGAGAACCCCTGCCACCAGGTGAGGGGAGACACATGAGGCTTCCCTCAGACAAGACAGAAGTCAGTGGGCTCTGGGACTCCCCACTTCTGTGGCTAATTAGGCCAAGAGGGCTTGCCCAATTGGTCTGGAAGGGGTTGGAGGTCAGGCTGATTTCTCCTGGAATCGATCCTCCCTGTCCCAGCTCAGCTCTTTCTTTCTTTCTGCTTCCCTAATATGCCACAGAGATATGCCAGGTGGGGCCTCAACACGAAGTCCCTTCCTTCAGAAACCCCTGACCAGGGCCAGGCCATCCGCGTGTGTCACACCTTGGTGCGAATGACATTTTTGTCGGAATCAATGTCAGTCAGTGTGTCATAGTCATCCTCTTCCACAGAGCTCATGGAGTCCAATCGTGGCCGAGTAACCACTGGGTCAAAGGAGCGGTCTAGAAACACCAAAGAAAAAGGACTTGGGTCAAGAGGACTAAACACTGGGTCTGCCCCCACCCATCAGAAGCAACTGTCAAAATTATTCAACAGTGGGGAAGAAGTGAATTGTGGGCCAGGGTTCACAGCAGTAGGGCAGGTGGCTCGGGTGCTGGGAGGAGAAGTACTCCTAAGTCAGTGGGAACCAGAAGGGAGTTCTGCCAGAAGCCAATGAACAGGAATGACTCCAGCCCTGCTCCACTCCTGACTCTTGGTCCCTGAGCTGGGGCTCTCCAGGCCATGACACTGAGTGGACCCCAGACACAAGTAACAAGATTGAACTTGGCCAATCATGCAGATTAGAAGATGCCCAGTCCTGTTGGGTTCTGAGAAGACATGCCATGGCCACCCTTGGGTTAAAGCCCTGGTATACAGGCTTGAGAAAAAGCATTCGTCCTCAGTCTTCATCTCCTCCTGTTACCTCACCTGGCCAAAGCTCCTAAAGGCCACAAGGTGACACCCAGATCCAGGAACCCTTGGCCAGCAAGCCAGGGAGGGAGGACACTGGCAAGAGGACAGTGAACTAGGATGTCTGACTGGTGGCCAGTACCTGTCTATCTCAGAAGACACATGGGCTGGCACTGATGGCACTTGATAGGGAAGCCATGCACTAAGCATCTTTCTGGCCCCAGAGATGGCCAGCTCCAGTGGCTGACCATCCAGGCAGGGATTGATTGGCAGGGCAGCCCTACCCCCTCCCCACATCTACCCATGGCAATGCACAGCTGCCGCATCTGGCCAGAGGGAAGGCGCCGCTTGAACTGGTCGTGCCCTTCAAAGGAAAGGTAAAGTTACAGGGGGAACTGAGGCCCAGTAGGAAAGAGAGGAAGGAGGGGGCAGAAGAGCAGCCCTTCCCTGGTTCCAGCATATGGCAGAGAGGCAGCCACCCACCAGAAGTTTCACCTAGTCAACAGCAGCCCTGTAGCACACAGCCCACTGCCAGGCCCACTCACCCTGGTAATTGTAAGAGAGGTCCCCTGAACCTGTGCTTTCAACCAGTCCATCGGTAGATCCGGAACCATTGTCTGCAGGCAGGAAAAAGTGGTGAGGCAGGTGCGAGTGACCTCAGAATGAGACTCTAGATCTGTTCCTAGAGAGCCCTGAGTAGCTGCAAGGGCATGGCCAACAGGAGGTGGCAGCAGAAGCAGCTGTGGTTGGGCACTGGCAAATACAGTCTTGACTTTGACACATACCGAAGGAACCATAGTTATAACCCTCGTAAGGGGCACCTCCAGGAAACGAATCGGCCAAGACCCGAGGATGACCTGCAATGAGAAGTCAAGGTCCTCTTAGGCCTGTGAGCAAGGGGAAGCCAAAAGCCAGGGGGTAAGAGAAGGGAGAAGCTGGAAAAGACAGCTGCAGAGAAGCCATGCCAGCAGTAAAAGAAAAGACAGATCCCCAAACCCACCTTGCTCGACAACCACGTCAACTCAAAGCAAACATGCCACCCTATATCCTAAAAGCAGGAACAAACTGGGCATAGTCGCTCATGCCTGTACTCACAGCACCAGCCTAGCTAAGACAGCAAGAGAGCTACATGTTTGAGACGAGTTTGGACTAGAGTCAGTTTCAGGGTAGCCTGAGCTATAAATGAGATCTTGTCTAAAAAAAAACTTTTAATTAAAAAAAAAATGGAGAGAGGATGGTCAAGGAAACAACACATCTCAGCCGCCAAGGAAAAGGCATATGGTGCCCAAGGACCTCCCTAGACGGTCCTTATGCTTCGCTTCCTCCCCCAGCAGCAGCTCCTCTGCCCACAGCACCCGGAGCTTACCAAGGAGAGAAGCTGAGAGGTCCAAGCAGGAGGGAAAAGTGATGGGAGAGAGAGAGAGAGAATGGAAAGTTAACAACCTGAGACTGAGCTGAGCGGCACTGCCTGAGGCAGGCTGGCGGTGTAGCTAGACCACAGGAAAGTTTCCAGGATATCTATGGAGGGGTGAGCCAAGACCCCAGCCTGTTTCCACTTGTGAAATGTTACTTCTAGGTTGAATATGTATGAAGAAGCCACCAATCCGCCCTCCTCTGACCCTTCCCTTCCCCATCCCTGCTTCCCTTCTTCCCACAGCAGATCCACCCACCCCATTCCCCAGAGATACCACTTTCTGGGCAGGCTCGGTCTATGGCCACCAGCAGTGTCTTCTTCCTTTGCCTGCAGGAATTCAGAGGACAATTGAGGCAGAATGAGGCCCTAACCTAGGCTAGGCTAACCGTCCTTCTATCGTATACATTTAACTCCTGAATCTTGGGTTTCTCCCACACCAGGGAATAATAGGGTGTCCCCAGCTTGGGAAGGAATGATGGAATAAGTCTGTTTACAAACAAATGGACCATGGACCACAGATCCCAACAAGTACCTGCCTGCCCCTGAAGACAATTAACTATAAGATCACCATGGACCAGTTGGGATCCCACCACATTCTCTCTTCCGTGCCCCCTGCCCAACTGCTCCAGAGAAGGGAACAGCCCAGGAATTCCACCTTACCTCCAGTTCTCCCAACAGGCAAGGAGCACGGTCAGCAGGTAGAAGGAGAGAAATATGCCCAGGCAGAAGAGCATTCCACTAACGTAGGCCTCAGCTACGGGGAAGGAAACAGGAAGGTAAGGAGTGAGAACACAGCAATCCTTCCCATGCTGCCTCTGGATGCCCAGGGACCATTGGGATTTGGCTCCTCCTCTCCTGAAGGCAATGCCCAGCAGTACCAATACCTGGCTACTGCTCCAAACACCAAACTCTCGCCTGCTCATGTGGTTTCCTAGAACTGTCGCTCCTACTTCTAGAAAATCCATGTTGACCTAACCTTCAAACCACAGCTCAGAGAGGGTACCCTCGAGGTGGCCTCCTGTGTTGTACATTATTCCCACAGTGACCTGCCCTTTTTTCATCCCAGCCCTCAGGACCTTCCAGAGCCCTCCTGGTCCCCACCTAAGGGCTTCCTAAGAGCTGCACTCCTAGCATACATGGGGGCACAATAAGTACTGAGTAAATAAGTCACAGAAGAGGTGGCTCTTCCTTCCAGCACAAGCCTTTATCTTGCTCTTGATTTACTTAGTGTGTATAACAGGTTTATAACTGCTTGTTTAAAATGCATCTTTGATTTATGCGTGAGTACTTTGCTTGCATGTTATGTATATGCACCATCACATGGGTGTCTGTGGAGGCCAAAACAGAGCATCAGATCACCTAGAACTAGAGCTACAGATGGTTGTGAGCTGCCATGTGTTACGATTAGTACTTGGGTCCTCTGGAAAGTCAGCCAGTGCTCTTAATAGTTGAGCCATTTCTCCAGCCCCAGTTGTTTTTATTGCTGTCTATTTTGTTTCTGTTTTTTTAGACAAGGTCTCATGTTCAAACTGGCTTTGAACTCATAACCAAGGATGAGTCTGATCTACTGATCTTCCTGTGTCCACCTCCTAACTGCTGGGACTAAAGAGGGGTGTGCTATTGTGCCAAGCTCCTTATCTTGATCTTATATTCCCTAGTTTAGAAAGGACGCCCTCAATTTAATAACTCAATAGACATTGCTGAGCAGTGACTAGGGGCCCAATACTCTAATTCCGGGTTAAATCTCACAACTGAATATATCTGATGCAACAGATTTCTTTTCTTTTCTCCCCCCCCCCCAGGGTTTCTCTGTGCAGATTTGGAGCCTGTCCTGGAACTTGCTCGTAGACCAGGCTGGCCTTGAACTCACGAAGATAAGCCTATGGCCTGGCTCTCTCTCCCAAGTGCTGGGATTAAAGGTGTGTGCCACCCCACCCAGCTCAGATTTTACTATTTCTGTAAAAAATAGAGACAGGGGACAGAGATTCCACTGTTAAGTGGCAGGGAATGAATGAGAACTTGCTCTTCAGTTTGGCCACTGACCCTGGGATCAACCGGGTCGGGTGGAAGACTGCTCAGAACACTCCTTTCTGCCCCAGCGCCTGCTGGGTAGGAGGGTCCTCGCCACCCTTCCCATTCAAGGAACACTTGCTTTCCTGGGTCTGAGACGAAGAAGCAGGGAGGTCTTTCTCGGGTACCCACACTTACATGTGACAGCTTGAGAAACCAGTACTGACAGGGTTTTCTGACGATGCCCTTGATCTACCGGATCATCTGGAAGGAAAATATCAAAGTGGAAAAGAAATGGCTGACTGGAACTTAGCTAGGGTTGATGGAACCTAGCCTCAGAGAGTCTAGGGCCTCAAACTCATATCCCATCAGATCCACCAACAGCCCTGGAGACGCCTCTGTTTCCTGGGAAGCCACTGAGCCTGACCCACCCCAGCCATTGCATGAAACATACCTTCCACAAAAGGGTAGAAGGGCAAGGACCCTCCGCAGGCCTGGTCCTCGGTCTTCACCACCACTACCACATAAAAGCTGTTGCTGGGGAAGTCTTTACGCTGGAGGAGGAGGACAAAGACAGTGATGACCATCATCATCACCACCACTCTTTTCTGAGTAGGAACTGGACCAGATACTCTAAGTTCTTCCTGTATATAATTTTACTTAATCCTTGCAAAGATTCCCCTCCCTCACATTTCTGTGATGCTGAGGGTCTAATACATGGCCTCTCAAATGGCAGGCAGATGCTCGACCACGGAGCCACACCCACAGGAGAAGTGTTGCCATTATCTTTGTGAAGTCAGGGCTGGAGCCCAAACCTGTACCCACACTCCAATCAGGTGAACAAGTGAACGAGCATGTGACCCACACAGCATGTCTGGGGCACCAGCCAGAAGACAGGACTCCACTCACATCAGAGAACCAAAATCACAGGAATGGAATATGGGGGTGAAGAATCCAGCAATAGTAAAAGGTTTCTGAATGTGTGACAATGAAAAATTACTCAGAGTTGAAGGCATACTGCACCCAAGGTGCTTCTAAAGGCACTCACCCTGTATCGGGTGACGTCACCTCAGCCTTGGTTCTCAACACACAAGTGCACTTTGTACCATGCATGCCATCACACCACAGGAAGTCAAGGAACACTGTCTGAAAGCCAGCCTGGATGGACTATTGTACGCTCTGAACTGCAGAGTTTTTACTACACACACCAAGTTTTCTGCTCTCGTAGAAACATGATGGTTTAGTAACAGAAAAGACAGCATCTAAGTACTTTTCTGCCCTCATAGCTCAAGCATGTGAGGACAGTCCGCACAATTTGGGGTTGGACTATGTTAGGTAGAATGTTTGGTTTAAAAAACTGTTTTGCATGGCTAAAAGACTCAGTGAGTTTTGATTTGGGATTAGGATAATATTTTCAACAATTTCTTTTAAAACTAGGGAACGCTTCACAAATTTGCATGTTATCTTTTCACCGGGACCATGCTGATCACTGTACCATTCCAATTTTCCTTCTTTCTAATTTATTTTATTTTATGGACATTGAGGGTGTCAGATCCCCTAGAACTGGAGTTACAGGCAGTTGTAAACTGCCATGTGGGTTCTGGGAATTGAACCTGGGTTCTCTTGGAAGAGCAGCCAGTGCTCTTAACCACTGAGTCATCTCTCCAGCCCCCTTTCCAATTTTAGGATATGTGTTGTTAAAGCAGGAGTGCAACGATTTCTAAAATGGCCCTCATGTGCTTCTGCCACTTTGCACTCTTCATTTATGCAGAGCGGAACCCTCAGCACTGGCAGCAATAGACAGGGGTGTGCTGCTGAGTGAGCCTCTGCCGCTCCTCTAGAGCAGACCTTGTCACATCCCTCCTGAATAAAATCCCTTGCTGACTGAAAACAAAAAACAAAACTAAGAGCCAGTGAGATGGCTCAGTGGAGAAATTTCTTAAGCACAAAGATCACAGTGAGAAGTTTAACAAGCCCTCGTGTAAGGCAGGAATGGGTAGAAAGACAAGTGCAGGATGTGGGAAGGCTTTCAGTTCATCAGCTAGTCCCATCTCTCAGGTCACGGGCATTCCTACCTGCACAGTGATGGCTGCCTTCTTAGTCATAGTCTGGTACATGCCAATGAAGGCCACGTTGTTGTCTAGATCATAGACAGGGCACTACAGGGGAAGGAAAGAAGAGGCAGATGGACACGGAACTGGGCCCTGTCCCCTTTTTCTAATGTCCCAACTACTTTCTGGTGAAGAATAAAATGAAAGACAACTTACCAGGACATCCTGGATGGAGACGACTGAGCAGGGGAAGGCCTTCTTGGAAGTCACCTTGACAATTACAGAGTCTACGCCATCAGGAAACTCATATTTAAAGTACTGAGAACATAGGAAGGGGAGGATGCTGTCTCAGGAGGGTGCTCTCCCTGCCCCTCTAAGAAGTCTCCTACAAAGGTTCAGGCAATGAAGCTACCTGGAGAGAAGAGCCTTGACCATGAGTAGCCCGCTTCTGCATGACCCTGAGCGCCAATCTCCTGCAACCTCAGCTGGGCACACAGGACAGTGCATGAGAGGTCGAGTGGGAAAGACAGCATCTAGATCCTGTCACTGCACTGTGTCAACCCGTCTATCCACACAGGAGTTCTGAGAGACCTGGTAGCCTTAGCTACCCCAATGACTACTCCTGCTCTCATGTTCAAGACTCCCCTATTTTCTTTTGGTTGTTGTGGCTATATTGAGGCAGGACTCCTGTGTAGCCCTGGCTGGCTTGGAATATATTATGTAGACCAAGCTGGCTTTGAGCTCAAAGATCCACTTCCTTCTGCCTTCCAAATACTGGGATTAAGGGCATGTGCCACAATGCCAGGCTAAGAGATTCCCTTTTTTTGTGTGTTTGTTTGGTTGGATGGTTTGGGGAGGAGGGGTTTGAGACAGGGTTTCTCTGTATAATAGCCCTGGCTGTCCTGGAACTCACTTTGTAGACCAGGCTGGCCTTGAACTCACAGAAATATGCCTGTCTCTGCTTTATGAGTGCTGGGATTAAAGGCATGCGCCACCACTGCCTGGCTAGAGACCCGCATTTTGGACAAGGGATTTTACCTGGGGCTGGGCTGCAGTGGTATTGAAGGTAAACGGCTCCCCAGTCCTATAGGGCAGAGAAGAACCCCGCAGTTACTCCCAACTCTTGGGAAAAAGCCTGAGGCTTTGTGGTCCTCTCACTTGACCCTGATTATTACCTGAGTACAAAATTGTCCACACGGTTGACTCGGAGCTGGTAAGTGGTGTTGACTGGTGACAGGGTGGACACATCCACATAGAAAAACTGGACCTCAGATTCATTCTTGGTGGGGGGTTGACACAGAGTTCGTTCAACTTTTTGGTAGAGGTACTTACGCTGATACCTACAGTCCAAGACAGAGAAGGTGTGACTAGTCCCAGCCAGCCTGGCACTAGAGGGAAATGAGGCTCCAGTTCTTGCCACCGGGTCCCCATACCTCCCAAGATGCTGGGCTCAGGGAACAGGGAGGAGAAAGAGAAGGATCTCCTGGGTGAGACTCCCTTCAAGGCCTGGCTAGGCCGCCCCTCCCTTCATCCCCAGGTCCTACTCACAGCCCTCGCAGGATTAGGGGCACCTGGAAGGACACAACAGCCTCTTTCTGGCGGACCACGAACAGCAAAGGCGCCTCTTTCTGCTTGTTCAGGACATTCACAGACACTCGCACGCCCTCAGTCTGCGGACGACAAGAAGTGTCCTCACTCACACTCAGCCCCTCTGTCCCTCAAACACATGACACTACAGACTGCATGCCCTGCTCTGCCCTAGGTTATCCATCCTGGCCTGCTTGTGTGGGAATAAGCCCTGTCTCGAGAAATGGCTGACAACGAGGGACATGAGGCTTGGTGTCGTTTGCCTGCTCTTGGAAGATGTGCAGTCAGTAGAGCAGCAGGTCCGGGACAACTGCAGGATATGCAGAAAAGACCTTAAGAGAGTTCCAGGCTAGCCCTCATGCGCACACACGTGCCCAGGCACACACTGACAGAGAAGAGCAAGAACTGTCCTCAATCTTCCTCTTGTGAACTAGGAAGCCAGCAAGAAGCTCCGGTTCCACAGCTACTCTGGAGGCCAGAGCCCTGCAGGGAGGGGTGGACAGGAACAGTGCAGAGACTGTTGAAATCCAAGTTGCACTCTATTTCTGACCAAGGGCCAAGCTGTGAAGTGACTTTACCTTGGAACCTCAATTCTCCCCTCTAAATAAGCCACCCTTTGCTGTGGATGAGGCCACACAGGACAGTGAGAGTTTAAGTGACAAATCACAAGAATGTTACTACTCCCTAGGCTGTGGAAACCAAATCTAGGAAGGGGTAGCATTTCCCCCAAGGGGTAGGTGCTACTTTTAGGATGATCAGGGAAATGGATTCTGACCTGCCAGAAACCAAACCCTCCTCTATCCCAAAGAAAAGCCCAGATGCCTCATTCTCAACTCCACAGCTTCCCAGTAGATCCAGCTCTGGCCTAGGAGGGAGAGCAGGAGGCCACACAGCCAGGCAGCACTCTGCCTGCGCCGCCCGGCTACCCCGCCTTCTACTTTCACTACTGGGGAGAAATGAGTAAGAAATCAGAGCCATTTCTGAACTCGAAACAAACTCCCTTTCTCTTGCCACTCAGCTTGCGGAGGGCCTTATCTCTGTCATCTTCAATGTACAAGGCCAGCTGGCTTTCTGAGGCAGGCAGGTTTGCCTCCTTCACCGCCCTGTGAAGTTTAGCAGTAAAACTTGCTGGAGCAGAGTCTTTCAGTTCTAAGTTGGCCCCTTCTGGAGTTGTCTGAGCAAGCCCGGTAGAAACCAGTTTCCCCTTCACTCCAACCACACACAGCTTCCAGGCTGAGAGCAGGGTAGACCTGTCCAGATCACAGCTGGTGGCAGGGAACTTTCTAAGTTGCCCAGCTGGAGCTGCAGGGAAAGCTGGTGGGAACGAGGCCTCGGCAAGGGGAGGGCAGCTCGGAAGCTGGCGGAGAGGGCAGGGATGACATCAAGGCCGGCTTGGGCGCCCACCCTCTCAGCCGCCCTGCCGCAGTGGAGCCCCGCGCTCACCCGGTTGCGGGTCACGGTGTGGTTGAAGGTGTAGATGTTGACCAGCTCGCTGTTGACGTCGTCCGCGTAGGTGCGCTCAAACTCCGCGTCTTTCTGCGAGACGTTCTTGGGCCCCAGAGCCCCCAGGTGACTCTCGACTGCGACCACCAGGAGCAAGCACAAGGGCAGACTCCGGGCGAACATGGCCCGGGGCGGCGGGGGCTGGCGACAGGACGGCGACCGGGCGCGTAGCGGCTGCCGCAGCAGCTTCCAGCATCTCACCAGGACCAGAACTTTAACCCCGGCCGGAGATAGGACGCGTCCCCTCCCTGGAGCCGCTCCTGGGCCTCACGCGGACCCCCGCTCGCGTGGGCGGCACCGCGACCCGCAACCCCGGTCCGGCCCAGCCAAGCCGGAAGCTGCTGCGGCAGCCGCTACGCGCCCGGTCGCC